CCTGAATAATGTGTACCCTAAATTACTATTTTTTAATGTGTCGCTGCAGGCCAAGGATAACAGTTATCACAAAGAACATATCTGAAATATGAGATTTTATACAGTTCTGTTAACATAAAATAGTCATTTGTCTGGGCCAGCTTTGTAGCACAGCTGTTAAAGCTCTGTGTGTTGGGATCCATATCTCACATGGTTTCCACATGTTCAAATCTTGGTCCCAGTGGCTTGAAAAACATACCAGGAGAGTGTGCATACATGCCCCGAATTCTGACAAAATGGAGAAATGGAAGAAAAAGGATTGTGGTGTGACCATGCCCCATTGGGGGTTCTCTCTCTCTCTCTTTGTTCTTCCTTTTGTTCTCAAAAATTTTTTTTATTGTATTGTTCAATATCCCTGTTCTATTCTAATTTCCTATAGGAATGGTTTGCCCAGGAAAAGCCTCTGTTTCAGAGGTGCACATTAACCTGAATGATGTAACCCTGAGAAGCATTATTCCATCATAAGTGGGGCAGGGACGGCTCTAACATGGGCACCCCTTGCCCTTCTGGGGCCCTCTTTGTTTTTGGATCCCTCCCAGGACTCCATACTTAAGCCACGTTCTTTTTAGATAGATACTTCCATATCTACCCAACACTGACTAAACATCCCGTGTGTTCCTATTCCTATGCACCCAGGAGCACGACACTGCCGTGACAGTCTGTCCACAGTGGGGCAACTTCATCATCCAAAGAGATCAAACCTGCTGTTTGATATGAAGGGTACTGATAAACAATGTGTGTGTATATAGATGTTTATTTTCTAATTTGAGGTAATTGTCAATTCACATGCAGTTAGAACACTACAGAGAAATTCTGTTTACCCTTTACCCAGTTTCCCCGAATGACAACATCTTACAAAAAATGTAGTACAACATGGGTCAACAGAAGGCGTAGTGGTTAAGGTATTGGATCTCACTTGGCTGATCAGTTCGAGTCTCAGACCTGGTGGTTTGAAAAACACCCGGTATGTTTGCATGTGTGACCAAACTTCTGAGAACAGAGTGGAGGAGAAGCGATCGCAGTGTAGCCATTCCCCCTGGGTGGTGATTCCTCACTTTCCCTCTCTGTCTCCAACAAGTGCATGTACCCTGTGAATAAAATTTTTTTTGAAAGATCATAAAAATGTTATACAGCATCACAGCTGGGTTTCAACACTGATGCAGTCAAGATAGAGGACATTTCCATCACCACAAGGACCCTCCATATACTACCCACCACCCTCCACCCCTGCCCTCTCCAGCCCTGGAAAGCATGGATCTGTTCTTCATTGGTCCTTATGGGATTCAGAGATAAAATTGGGAGACCAGGTGATGACGCAGTGGTAATACAACTGGCTCTATATGGGAAAGGTCCTGGGTTCACAGCCTGGTTCTTTCCTGAGCACATGCCCATGATCAGGGCTAGCTGAGACTGGAGATGGATCGTGGTGTGAAGATCCTGATGAGGGTTCCCATCTCTGTCTCTCTTTCTCTGAATGTCTCTCCATGGAAGAAATTTTTTAGGAAAATAATACTCTAGTTTTAGAAGAGATGATAAACATACACATTTAAAGCACATGGGACAAAGGACAATTGAGTAGGAATACTAAAGACTTCAGGATACATGTATTGATAGAAGGAAGGCTTTCTTTTGAAACAGAATTCAGCATTAACTCTTGAATATACTATGAGCACACTGTGTCTTTAGAGGGCGTCTTCTGTTTCTTTCTTTTTTTTTTTTTTAAGAGAGTTTTTTGCTATAGGGCATGTGTACTCGCCAGAGAGACAGAGAGAGACAGAGAGATAGAAAGCGAAAAATCACCCCCCGGGGGGATGGACACACTGCAATCCCTTCTCCTCCATTCTCCTCTTGGGATCTTGGGCACACACGCACATGCACCCGGCGTGAGTTTAAGCCACCGGGTCCGGGACTTGAACCGCGGTCGATTACATGGGACTCCAGCAACATAGCCATTACACTAACTGCTGGTCCCGATGTCTCCTGGTTTTGGTGATAGTCTACTTCAATTTCTCTGGTTTAAATCTGACTGTATTGGGGTAGTGGTAATAACTGGTCAAGTCCATGGCCCCTAATAAGTAGGGGCTGTCTGGTTTGTGCTGCACTTCTTTTTGTTTCAGGATGAGTCCAGGGGCCTAGCTTTGATTATTTTATATTTAAATAGCCATATATGGCCCATGGTACAGAGATTCCAGGTTACTCATGTTGGGTTGTTTGAGTCATTCTACTCCCCACCCCAAGTGGGGCAGTACTATTGCCCTAAGGGTCCTCTGGCTAACCCCCTTCTTCACTTCCTGATGGTATGACCTAGGACAAGTTGATTAGCCTTTCTGTACCTGTGTTTCTGCACCTGTAAGACAAAGATGATAGCCCATAGGGTGGTTGGGCCAAGTAAATCCAAGCAGTGTGCTTGGTCCACAGCTTCACTGTCACCTCTTGCTATGATGATGCTGGTTATGAACACGGTCAAGATTTCCTGGAAAGGAAATTATTTGAAGGTGTGACTCTTAGATGTGACCACAGGGGGGCAGCCTAAAATCATGTGAGTCCATGGAACAAGGAGACTTGTTTATAAAACCTTTCTTATCAGCTTTTCTTTTTTTCTTTTTGTAGAACATTTTTCAGCAACTTTCAGACTTACTTTAGGTATGGTACTGGCCCGTGAACATTTACAGGGTGGCGCAAGCAATACACAGCGAGGTTCACGTCCTACCTAGGTGGCTGACTGGCTGTGAGTGCTGATGGAATCATCCTTCCAGATGTGCTGGGCTTGTTTTTCTAGCTTTCATGTAGAACTAATTCTTATTAGTTAAACCCTTGAGTAGGGACTAGAACCTAAAAATTGAGACAAAAGAGAAACCTGGTTTTTTTTTTTTTTCCTTCCTGCTTCCCTTCCACTGCCTTCGTGCCTGCTTTGAGCCCCGTGTGTGCACCTGAGGACCTACACATGGAGGGCAGTGGTGAAAGCTAGGCGAGCCCCAGAGTCACATCAGCCACACATGGCCCTGGAGCCTACTAGGGAGAGCCCGAGCTACAGAGAGGGAACCCTCTGGGGAAGCAGAATGAAATAAGGTCTCCTTGAACCAGGTGGGAGCACAGAGCATCTGGGGTATTGTCTGGAGGACTGTGGGGTCTTGAGGGTAGGTGGGGCTTAAGCAGGGACTTTTGCAGGGCGAGTGGAGAAGAGGTGGTATGAGCCAGAAGATGTGTGGGAGAATAAGTAGTAGTGCTGAGATCAAGTTGGGGAGAGAGTTTGGAGTTGGATTGTGGGGGGCCTAAAGTGAGCTGAGGAGTTGGGCATTTAGATTCTTGGCTCCGTTTACATCATTTGTAGTGTCATAATGATTAAGAGTTGATTAAAAACAAACACGGAGAACAGCCCTTGTAATCTGGGGTTGATTTTTCTCATACTTCTCTCTCGAACTTTATTATCCCTCATACGTAATCCAGGCTGCAAAATCAGGCACGTTTGGGGAATCATGACAGTCTGGTGTTTGTTCTGTCTTCCCCCTTCCACATTCCCACTGCCTCTATTGCAGGCCTGGCCTCCAGGCCCCTCAGGCCTCTGGGCCATCTCCTGGAGGTGTGGCAGGAACTTCCCTGGACAGAGTGCAGGTTTCTATGGCAGCAAGGCACACTGAAGTCAGTTTGTGGTGTTCCCAGAGAGGGAGATCCAATCCCTGGGAACATGAATCTGGTTGTGTGAATACTAAGGCTGACTTGTCCAGAACAGTGCAGTTTAACATTAGATAGGTAATACTCATGAACAGCCTATGGTAACAGAGCGTAGTGAGTTATTCCTGATTTTAAAACTACCCTGAAGATCCATTTGATCCTTGATTCAGAAAGCTTTTTTTTTTTTTTTAATTTTGCCAGAGGGTGTACGTGCTCTCTGGAGGTGTGGTTGGTGGAGGCCACCGGGTCTGGGGTTTGAATAGTACAGTCAGCCATGTGAGATCTAATTCTCTTAACTACTAGGCCACAGAGATGGCCCTGATTTAGAAAGCTTTTTAGGGGCCCAGGCACAGTGACACAGGTTAGGTAGGGCACTGCTGCACAATACTGTAGTTGTATGGGAAGCTGGGGTTCAAGTCCTGGTTGGTGTACCCATGGCAGCCCATGCTCTTGGCTGGGTAGGAGGCTGGGGGGTGGGGATCGTGTGTTAAGACTACCACCCACCAATTAATGAATCAGTCTTTCTCCTTTTCTCGCTCTTTCTCAAGAAAGAAAAAACAAACAAGCTTAACAAAAAGAAAAAGAAAGCTTTTTAGGGTCCTGTACGGGTTGAGTAGAGACACAGAACTCTAGGGAGAGTCCCTGGACATGATGGAGCTATCGTTTGTTCCATGTTACTTATGGCAGATACTTGAATGACAAACAGGAATTGTTGTATTTATTTCTTCTTCATGATTCTAAGATACTAAGATTGGCACCAGACAAAACTTGGCAGAACTGAAATTGAACTTAAATGCTGTATTTCATGGTATCTACCTAAGGAGTTCATATGTGTCCCTTAGCAGTTGGCTCCTTTAGAAAGTAAAGCTCAGTATCTGTCTAATAAACAGTAACCAAAATCTTATCTTCTTTTGTCGCTCTTCTTTCCCCACAGGTGGTCTCACTTAAGGTCTGGGAGCTGGACGTGGGGACGCCTGATGGACTTCTCTGTACGCTGTCAGGCCCTTGTCATTTATTGCACTTTTTGACCCCTCTAGGGCTAGGGCAGAGCATTAAGGAAAGGGCTTGGTGCAGGCAGTACCATAGCACAACTTCCATGTGTGTGGGCAAGCCTTGGACGGCATCTCTTGGCTGTAGGGGACCTGGTTGTGTACATAGTGAGTAGTGCTAGATCAGACTTCCTTCGGATAAGTGTGCTGCTGATGGACGGTGTTTGCATATGGCCAGCTCTCTCCAGTACTCAGCAGAGAGGGAATGAAGAACTGAAAATCACCGTGTTTTCTCTCATAGGCATGGACGGATTTTTAAAATCAGACGAGAGACAAAGACTAGCTAAAGAAAGACGAGAAGAAAGAGAAAAATGTCTGGGTAAGTCACGCACTTTGACTGTTTAGGTCTAAGAGAATGGAGCTGTAACTGTCTGTATCTTCTGAAGGTTGTTAGAACTCCATGAGCGCCAGGGCTATTAATAAGTGAACATGAATATTTGGGAGTGAATCTACATTGCAAGTGACATGTTTGTAACTATTATGTAATTCTCAGAACAGTCTGCTCATTCCCTTAGCAAACATTGACCCTCTGCTGTGTTGTAGGCTCTATGCTAGGGATTGTGGATATTATGGCGAAGAAAGAGAAACAGTTGCTGCCCCTGACCTGGGGATGTCCTGAGTTCCTCAGGTATCCACCGTGTGGACTCATTCAGATTCTCTCCTGGGCATCTAGAAGGTCCATCTTTGGGAGAACTGAGATCTGGCACTGAAACCTTTTTCTGTGTTAGATCAGGGATCCCTGGTTCATAAAGGCAGCGTTTTCTCTTGCAAGCTATGAACAGATAGATTCAGTGTGCCCTATAGGGTGCTATGAAGTAGATAGATGCTGGTTTCCCCACTGAATTGAAGCAGATGAGGAGCATTCAGGTTCTTCTTCTTGAATGCCTCCTGCTGGCCAGTTCAACCATTGCCTCCTCCAGGAAACCCTCCTCCGATTTTGTTAGGTGGAGTTACGGGCCCCTCAGTAAACATCTTGGGTGGAAAGGCCAGTCTTATTCATGTGTTTTACCCCCTTGTCCAGTTTAGCATAGTGCGTGCACAGTTAACATGTTTTTGAGTGAGTGTTCCCTTACAGCTGTCATTTCTCAACACAGTTCATGGCTCAACCATTGTGCACAAGTTCCACTCAATGACAGTAGTAACAGCTCTTGTGTGGGGAGGCACTTACTTAGTACTTTATGTGCATTGTCTGCTACAGTCTTCACAGCACTGTGACGTAACAAGCACACCTGTCCCCACATCACAAAGGAGGAAACTGGGGCAGAAAGACGATATAGTTACCATGTCCAGGGGCACTCAGCTAGTTTCAGAGGTGCCAACACCCTTCATCTCAATCAGTGCATCCCAAGATCCTACCAGGCTTTTTGGGTTTCCATTCTTGCATCTGTATTTTTTATCTTAATCCAGACAGCATGGAATTGCTGTGGTGGTGACCCCTCTCTTCTGCTTCCTTCCTAGCTGCCCGAGAGCAGCAGATCCTAGAGAAACAGAAAAGAGCCAAACTCCAGTACGAAAAGCAAATTGAGGAGCGATGGCGAAAACTGGAAGAGCAACGTCAGCGGGAGGACCAGAAGAGGGCTGCTGTGGAAGAGAAGAGGAAGCAGAAGCTCCGGGAGGAGGAGGTGGTGCATCCCAGGAGCCCCAGGCCCCACCCCAGCCATCTCGGCAGCTCACACAGGGCTTAGTGCTCAGGGCATCTGGGCATCCTGCTCAGCTTTAGGGTATAAGAGAGACCTGCTCCTGCACCTTCTCCCCAGCGGCTCTCTGTGCCTTCTTTGAGCAGCGTGATGTGATACAGCAGGAGCAGCACTGGCTTAGGGACAGATAGACTTGGCCAGTTAACTTGGGCTCAATTGCTGTGTGACTTTGAACAAGCTGGTTGGCTTCTCTGGGCCTTTATTTGCTTGTTTTTGAAGTGAAGAGATTTGATTTGGGGCCTCCAAGGCCCCTTCTAGGCCTAACCCAATCTGACTGTAAATTAAGTCTCAGAGGGATTCTGAAAAGATGCCAGGAATTCCTGCCCAGAGTCCTGCCTCCAAGGGCAAACACCAAACCAGAGCAGAGCTAGGAGGGTGGAGAATAATATCCTATTATTTACCACTGGAAAATTAGTCAACCTCAAAATACAGAGATCCTGGTGTATTTGAACTTTAATGTGGTCCCTCGCTTTCACCATCCTCTCTTCCCAGTTACCTTTTTAAGAAGAAATGGAATGTAATTACCCTTACAGAGTCCTTTATTACTAAACTTTGAAAATATATGTAGAAAGCATATTTGGATTATAGATTTTCTTAACGAGTATATTTTAAGGATGTAATTGTAACCTTAAATCAGGTGATGATCATTTTTTATTCATAAGGCATAATGACTCATCTTTTAGTATGAACAATGTAGAGGCTTCTTCATCTCCAACAGTGTAGGATACAAAGAAGCTTGTATAAATTCAGTATTTTTTAAATCTCTCAATGGCTGTTTATCACTATTTATATTTACCCATTTCTTCTTAATTAAAAAGTCATGGGGCCAGGGATCAGCAGTTGATATAATGGCTATGTCAGTGGACGCCCATGTAGTCAACCACGGTTCAAGTCCCAGACCTGGTGGCTTAAACTCACACTGGGTGCGTGTGTGTACATGCCCAAGATCCCGAGAGGAGACTGGAGGAGAAGGGATTGCAGTGTGGCCATTCCCCCTAGGGGGTGATTTCTTGCTTTCTGTTTCTCTGTCCCTCTCTCTTTCTGGCGAGCGCACTCCCCCTATAGCAAAAACCCCTCAAAAAAAAAAAAAAGTCACAGGGCTGGCAGGTGGTGTGGTGGTTAAGACACTGGACTCCCACATGGCCGACCACGGTTCAAGTCCTGGACCTGGTGGCTTGCTTTGTCACGTTCCCTCACCCTCTCTCTCTCTGGTCAAAATAACAACAACAATAATAATAATAATTCTTTTTTAAAATCACATACAAGCAATACAAGCACACACACGCCCCACTGCCCAAGAAGCACCCATTTTTGGAAACTTCTTTGTTCCTCTTAGTGAATGAAGGTCTAAGCAAGGGTCCTAGTCATGGTTCACTGTGGTTGGCTGTGATCTTATTGGTGGCCAGGGGGCCAGAGGCCAGTTACTTTACCTCTTTACCTCACTGCATAGCCCAAAGCAGAGTTGGTTACAGCAATTAAAGGAGGTGCCTGTTGTGAAAGTGCCCAGCACTTTACTGAGCACAGGATAATCACTCTAAAATGTTCAGTTTTTTTCAGTTATTCAGCTGACCTTGGCTTGAAGCAAGGTTGAGGGAGCTACCCAAAAATGATTATGGCACAGAGTCTGTAGAAACAGGTCGGTCATTTGGAAGATGTCTCCTTTTCCAGCCTGTGTATTTGTCATGAGTCATTGGACTCACTCAGTTTCTTCCCATCCTCCATCCCTTGATGACTTCGAGCTTGTCCCCTTCCTCCCTGTCCCCTCATTTTGATTCCTGACGTTCTGTAGGTTGCCGATTCAGGAGAAATTCGTCCTTGTTGCTCCCAGGAAGGGGCACTGAGAATTCAGGTTAGACACTCCTGTTCTCTCACACATCCTACACTGCCACAGGGGTCTGCTTTTGGGGCAATTTCTGTCTACTGCCTATAACTTCCCTAACTAGAACAAAGTGCTGGGGGCACATTCAATTGAATAGCCTCCTCCCCTGCCTGGTTGCAAATGAGGGAGCTTCCTGCTCGATAGTTGGTCTTAGTGCAGCTGAATATGTAGTGGTTTCACTTCTGGGTAACTTTTTATTCACTTACGTGCTTCCTTGCATCCCTGACGTGCTGGTGGTGGAGGCTGCTGCCTGACCCTTGTCCACTTGTCCACACAAACCCAACTAAGTTTCTTTCCTCTTCTCCCTAGGCACACAGGACAGGGCTGAGAGCCAGGCCTCCTGCAGTTGTGTAGCAACCCAAGGAAGCAACAGTCTCTCTCTGCCACCTGCTCCCACCCTTAGGGCCCAGGAGACAGGAGTAGCTCAGGGATTTGCCTCATGCGGGCTGGCCTGGTAACCACGTCAGCATCAGCTTTCTGCCTGTGCGGACACCTGTTTGGATTCTCATGAGTGATCTTTAGAGAGGGGAAGAGTCTGTACTGGAGAAGCCTCTTTCCAAAAGAAACCCACGGTGGTCGCCCCATGTTTTATGGAGCACTCGGGGAATGCTGCCTGCTCTGTGCCTGGCTGTGGAGGTGGAGAGTCTTGGTTCTCATCACAGTGCTAGATTTAAGTTCTGTTGTCACAGTCTGTCTCTGCCAACCAGAGAAAAGCGTCACGGATAGATTGTTCATCCTCTGCAGGCCCATGTTCCTCTCTGGACTGTTGGAAAGTGTTTGCATTCCCTACCACATCCTACCTCTGGCTCCAATACTTAGGAGCTCATAAGAGGTAAGGGTCATAAGAACCCCAGTCCCCACCCAGCCCTGCCCTGGCTTCCATGTTCTTATGGTTGCTATAATGTCATTCTTTGCAACCCAGAAGTGGGTCCCACCAGTGGTCTGGCTCCAAAGGTCTCAAGAGTTGGCAGTGGTGGAAGGTGGTTGGGAAGGAGGAAGGTCCAATATCTACTAGAGACCCTGACTTTGAACCAATCGTATCCCTGGAGGTAGCTTTCTCCTTAAAGTGAGTTTTTACAACCCACATAGCCCCAAGAATTGAGCTGCTGGAACATGTTATTATCACCTCATTTAAGGCTGACAACAGTGTGCTCACTCATTCTCCACTCAGGGGTACAGCATCCTGACTGGTAGCCCTGGAAAATATGACGTGGAGACACCAACTCCATGTTCCTCACACTGAAGAGATAATTGGGGGGGGAGAGATAATTGGGAAAGGCCTTTTCCAAAGAATAGCATTATCTTTTTAAGCTGTTTCGACACATCGAAACTTCTCATACTCATACTGCTTGTTCTAGCAAAACCCACTAGACCAGGTGTAAAACGAGAAATGTCTTGAACTCACCTTAGCAAAAGTTTCACTTAGCTGAGAGCTGGCTGCCATCAGAGGGCATTGGCTGGCAGGGCACCATGCTGACCACTTGGCCTGGCCAGACACAGACATCTTTTGCAGGGAGCTTGTTCCCTTAGGGAGCCCTGCTGAGGGCCATTGGGAGCTTGTCCCTGCATCATCATTCCCTCAACTCATTTAATAAGAACAGTGGAAAAGGCACAGCCCCCACCCCCACCCCTACCCCGTCAGAGACTGCTGTTGGGAAACACTGTCTAAGCCCCACCTTGTTGAAAGCCCACTCAATGGGTCACTGTGGTTGTAATTTCCCAGGTTTGTCCAGGCAGGTCTGGAATTGGAGCTCAAGGGGTCAGCATAGGTCACCCTTGTTTTCTTCCTTCCACTGAGCCCGCCCCAATAGACAAGAATTTGCCTTGCCCTTTCCCCATCCTCTGTTCATCACTAGATGCTACTCAGGAGCACCAGAACTTGGCAGGAATTGTAGTTTGCAGTTCTGTTTGTTAATACTGGTTTTCTGGTGTGATCAAACTTTCACATGCTAGTTTCTCATGCTCAACCTTTCCTCTACCCAGTGGCTCTTAACTGTGTGGTTCCATGACCAGCAGCACCTGGGGACTTGTTAGAAGTGCAGGTTTTCTAGGACCAGCCTGTGGCATGGTGGTTAAGGGGGCTATATCCCATATGGCCTTCTGTGCAGTTCAAGTCCCAGACCCAGCAGCCTGGGAGACATGCCAGACACATGTGCATGCATGCCCAAAATGCCTAGAGGAGAGTAGAGGAGGAAGGATTGCAGGTAGCCATCTGCCTAAGGGTGCTTGCTCACTTCCCCACCACCCCAAAAAGCACTGGCACCTTTATAATAAACTAAAAAAAAATTTAAAATAAAAGTGCAGATTCTCAGCAGACACCATCCCAGATATATTGCCTCAGAAACCCTGGGGATAAACCCCTACTATCTGCCTTTTAATACACCCTTTATGGGATCCTGATGTCTGTGTGCTCAAGTTTGAGAACCACTGCTCTAAACTGTCCTGTTGATAATTCTCTCCTTTCAAGTGCAGGCTCAGTCGGCAATGGTTAAGGATTTCCATATCAGGTACCATGCTAGTCAGTGTTCTAGAGACTTAGAGAAGCTCTGACCATGTAGGTACTAGTGTCCCCCTTTTGAAGGTGAGGAAACTAAAGCCCAAGGTCATGAAATGATTAGCTTAAGGTTATAGGGTAAAGTGGCAGGCAGAGGGTCAGATTTGAATCTTTATCTCCTGACTCCAGATCTAGGATTCTTCCCATTTTATTAAGTGATGGAAAAGAAAGCTATACACACTAAGCAGTATTGACTGATGCAGGACTAGCCTGTAACACCAGAGCATAGAGGACAAGTTTTGGTTTTGGCACATTTGGATCACCCCATTCTGACTTTTTTGGGTTCCATAAGTCCCCTGTCTCCTTCTGTCATAGTTTGGTGAGCACCTGTTTTTCATCAACTCTGCAAAAGTGGGCGATACATCACGATTGCATCGTTGTCTCAGGGATAGCTGTATTTTCATAGCCTAGGCCTAAAGGAGTGACTCTCCGGTAGCTGAATTTGGAGCAGCTCAGTGCCCTGGGAACAGATGGCAGAGGTAGTTTTTCTAAAGGCACAATCCAGGAGTAGTTCTAGCTTTAGGTGAGCACTTGCTTATAACTTTGCCCTGTAGTTAGCTGCTATTGGTAAGGCTGACCCGATAAGTCTCAGTGTCCTGCATTCTCATTGGTCCCTCTATAGAGGACGAAGTATCTTCTGAGGTCCTTCTGGCATGTAGTAATCTATCATAACTCAACTAATACTAAATACACTAATTATACTCAAGAATGAAAGATTTTAACACAACTTAGGTCATTAGTTAAATGTTGGGTTGTAGGAAAAGACATGATGTATTTTTTTCTGTTTTTCTATGCAAAAAATGTTTCATGACTTTTCCAACAGCCTGATACTTTGTGATAAATTCAGACCATGAAATGCCATTCATCCCAGTGACTACACCTCAGGCATCAAATTAAGATGTAGGAGAAGTTTTATTACCTTCAAATCCCAACTTTGAACATTTTTTCCCTTTATTTATAATAGAGTGTGTGTGTGTGTGTGTGTGTGTGTGTGTGTGAGAGAAAGAGAGAGAGAGAGAAGTGAAGCACCTTCCACAGGCTTTGGTCATGCTATAGTCCCCTTTCTCCAGTCCCCCAGCCCATCAGATCCTGGGCACTTTTGCCTGGCATGTGTGTTGAGGCTGACTGGGCCAGGGATTCAAACCATGGAAAATTCCTCTTCTGTTAAGTAGTACATTGCCATTGCACCATAGAACTGGCCCTACAAACTCCAGCTGTTACTGGGCAGACCACCAGGATTAGCCATCAGAATTTAATGGGCTGGGGTCGTGAGAACAGGACTCTGCCAGGAACTGCACACTCTTGACTGTAGAGTCTTAGACCAAAAACCATGGTACAATTAATAGTCAATACAAATCTGAGACTTACAGGAGGAAAAAATTCCCCCTTTGTGCTCATCAGGTCCCTGGAGAGGCAGCCTCTTAGCAAAGTGCTATTCAGAGAAAAATTATGCAGAGGAGGCTGAGATAAGGAGAAGTGAAATGCTCATCTCATCCCCTTGGTGCAGACAAAAGGGATAAATCCAGATACATCCTCAGTGACCTTTGTATGTGTCTAGTAAGTGAAATAAAGGAGCCTTTTCCTGATCCTTAAGTCATGGTTACTCAGTTGATGCTTCCCTAAATTAATTTTGCTTGCTTGTTTTTTTAAGCCATCAGAAAATTACTATCTTTTTGTTTTGGAGTCAGGCTAGGATTAGCCCAATTACTGGAGCACGTCAGGGTTGGGTTTAGTGAAGGCTAAAGGGTGTCAGTGTAACTGTTTGCCTTGCTTGGGGCCTTTTCCAATGGAGGTAGGGAGAGGAATTAGTATCTGCTGTGTCATTGAGGTGGCGGGGTGCAGAATTAGAACTGCTTCACTTTAGTGCCAGGGACAGCTTCAGGAATGTAAAATGTGGTTAGTATCATAGAGCTTTTTGATAAATCCTCTGTTAAGAGAGAAGCCTGGCTGTTGTTTCTCTCTTCTGCTTAAAAATTGTTCAGTTCTTCCTTCTCCTATATCCAAACCTAGGAATGCATGGATGCTTAACTTTGAGACCAGAAGGCGCTGTACTCTTCTAAATTTTGAAGTATGCATCATTATCCCTAGAATACTACATAGCAGGAAAATGTTATGATAGAGAAAACAATGATTCCCCTTTAAGAAGCTCTAATTTGTAAATGGGGCTTTTGCAAAAAAAATCTCAAAGTCATCTATCACCCCAAACAGTTATGTTTAAGGCTACAAAAGCTCAAATTATATTTTTCTTTAAGTTTTCTTAAATCAGAGTGTTTTATACTTTCAACTGGAAAGGTTTCAGTTGGTTCTGGAGTAAAATTCCAGTTCTACTGCATTGGAAAAATGGGGTTTGAGACAGACCTCAAAGAGTTAATGCTTGTTGGGCATTATTCTTAAATAAATCAAGGCCTGGCACAGCAGCAGCTTCTCAGCAGCTTGTCCCCAGGGAGAGGAGGGGAGGGGATGGGACGTGGTGTTGGTGTTCAGGAGCCAGCGCCAGCCTAGCCGCATTGTTTACTCTGCACCCGGTAAGAACGCACTGGTGTGGCAGACAGGGCACATGTGCCTGAGTTTTGGATGCTGAGCACTGAAAGCCCATTGGGTGTTCACCCCACGCACTGAGGCAGCAGTGCGGTAGGACTGGATGGTTAATCTTCCCTGTTGACACTGACGCTTTGCATGAACCGAGCAGGAGCGGCTGGAGGCGATGATGCGCAGGTCCCTGGAGCGCACACAGCAGCTGGAGCTGAAGAAGAAGTGTTCGTGGGCAGCTTCGCTGGCTGCAGGGCCCGGAGGACGTGATGGTAAGTGTAGGGGCTGTCTCCACAGAGTCGGGGCCCGCTGGGAGAGCATGGGGCAGGCAGGAGAGCGTGGGCATGGCTGGGTGCCTGTGTGAGCCAGAGGATGCTTTGCACTGCTTTAGGGTACTGTTTTCAGATAGGTTTCAAACTGCCAAGCTTCCTGTGTATGCATTTCTCAAGAAGGGTTGTGTGATTTCTTGCTAGCAAGTAGCTGTTGGTTCACTAACTGGGCTTTGAGAGAGGGCAAAAGAAGAGCAAAGACAAAGATCGCAGAGCCCGGTGAGCTGGATTCAGCTGCTGAGCCCTGGGGTAATCTGATTTCAGGGGAAGTGAAGGCAGGAGGCTGAGTCAGCACTCTGGACTTGACCATGACCAGGAAAGGCAGAGCCGCAGTTACCTTCAAAAAGGACGGGGCTTTTTCCTTCCTCATTATTAATTTTGGTTACTCTTTAGATTTTGTTTTAAGGTGACTTATTTACTTCATTATCCAGCTCATACTCATCTTGAAATTTTCAGACGTTCGATTTAATATGTAGATTGTTACCAGTCTCTGGGTGGTTTTTCCCTCTTTTCAGTATCTTGCTGCATTTCAGTGATCTCAGCACTCTATCACGCAGGAATAGCTCGTTCTGAGAACAAGTGGGTTTAAATTTATAGGCTAGTCTTGACTTTGCTGTAGTGTGCTTTTAACCTTTTGCCTATGAGTATTCCTTTCTTTTTTTTTTTTTTCCTGCTTCGAGATATTAAAAACCCACTTCAGTTACTTTTTTTAACTTCCTAATTAAAATCTTAAAAAAAAACCCAAACAAACAAAAAAACCAAGAAATTGGGACTTTTTTTCTTTTACCTCTCTCTTTGCTCTGATTTGTTTTTGCTGTGTAGGTGAATCAGAAAATACCCCACCCCCTCTAGGCTTAGCAGCCACCACCCTCCCTCCGGATGCAGGAGCCACTGTCACCACTGCCGAGCCCACCAACGGTATATCCGAGCGTCACTGTGCCATGGCATTTTGTGATAACTGTTCTGATCACCCTCCTCCATCACCATGTCTGTCTCAAGCACTTTCACAATAAATTTCTTAGTCTGAGCCATGATAATTTTTTTTCTAGAAATGTGAATGACATGTCCATATTTCCTTTTTTCCTCTGTCATCGTGGAGTTGTGCATGCCTTACATTTTGGTGCCCTGGAGACATTTCATCCTCAACTCATTAACTCCTGCCTTGAAAATCTTGTCAGTATTTGATTTTTTGTGTATTTAGATCTTTTAACAGACTCAATCATCTGATTTTGATCACTTCTAGTGACCAAAATCTGTAATCACAGAGTTCTGAATGGAATACTTGACTTGGTATTAATGTGATGAATTTCTGGAGAGGTATTTGAGAGAAAGAGGTAGGGATCTAGCAGAACTAACAGGAAATCTAAGGAGAGAATGTGGCTTTCTGCTTGATTTAATCTCTAATAGGCTTTCCATTTTTGATACAGGCCTGGGAAATTCTTATGGTCTAGATCAAGAATGGAACAAGGAAAAACTTTGTTCCCATTTACTAGTGACTTTAGAAATTCAATTTATCTTTGGCAGGCAAATGAAAAAAAAATGCAAGAGGAATGCAGTATTTATCAGCAATGCAGAAGGTCATATTAGTAAGCAGGAATAAATATCATTGGCTCCTAGCATTCCTTTGACAAGAATAATCCTTACTGCTGGTGCTTAGTACTTGAGACTTTGCTGCATGGACCAGGTCACCTGTAGTGCTAACACTGGCCTGCTCCCAAGGAGAGGTGCAGGTAGATTGAGCACCACTGGGGATCAGCCCTCAGGGCTAGTACCAGGGCCAGATGAATGTAGGACTTGACTTAAGAACATGATTCGAGGATGCCAAAAGTCTCAGTAGTCAGTATAAAATAATATTTTAATGTGATTTTTTTTATTTTAGATTTTTTTTTTTGCTATAGGGTATGTGCACTCACCAGAAAGAGGTACAGCGAGAGAGAGAAAGAGAAAGTGAGAAATCACCCCCCAGGGGTGATAGCCATGCTGTGATTCCTTTTCCACTCTCATCGCAGGATTTTGGGCATGCACACACATAGGCCTAGTGTGTTTTTTAGGCCACCAGGTCCAGGGCTTGAACTGTGGAGTCAGCCACATAGGATCCAACACCTTAATCACCACACCACCTGCTGCCGCTTTAATATGATTAAAGAACAACAACAACAAAATTAATGTGAAATAATCCATGTCAGATTTTTAAGCTTCAGTCCCATGATGAGCCATATTGGAGCCTGAGGCAAAGGGAAAATGTGCACCCCTACATAATGGTTTTCTGTTATTTATTTATTTTTTAATTTGTCAGAAGGCACTCACTGGAGAGAGGCAGAGAGAGAGAGAGAGAGAGAGAGAGAGAGAGAAAGCATCCCCCATGGGACATGGTCTTACTGCAACCCCTTCTTCTCCATCTCTCCCTCCTTTCAGGATTTTGGACATGCATGCACTTGTGCTTTGTATGTTTTTCATCTCCAGGTCCAGGACTCAAGCAACGCAGCTGGCCATGTGGGATGGCATCTAGCCACCTTAACCACCAGACCACCAGTTGGCCCAGTTTTATGTCATTCCTAATGATTAATTTTTTCCAGAACTTTAAAGTAGTTTAAAAAATAGTTAAAAATGGAAATGTAGGAGTATTATTGGGTTGTAGGAAAAGTCATGACATACTTTTTCTATGTTTTTCTAGGCAAAAATGCATCATGACTTTTCAAGTTTAAATGTTTATTCCCAAATCAAATTTATTATACTTCAGCTTGTTAATTAATAATTACTAAAGATTGTTACTTGGTCACAGAAATGATCAAACATGACAGTTCTCACATTTGAAAACAAGATGAGCAAAGGAGTAGATTTTGAAAATTATTTGGTAAGTGTATTTCCCCTGTAGCCAAGAGCATAGTTTTCTTTTTGCTTTGGGCTCTGAGGTAGCTTGGCTGGTTACTGTCATCACCTCTCTTTTTGCTTTGGGCTCTGAGGTAGCTTGGCAGGATACTGTCATCACATATTTATTTTCCATAATGGTTTAATTTAAAAAACCACTCTGAAATAATGACTGGAACATGAGCACACCAAACTCAGGGCCACACATTAACCTTCTAACCTTCAATAGTTAAAGAATTGTGAAAAGGCCATTCCCTAATAATGAGAAGAAAACTGACTGCTAATGCTAAAGGTAGTTCTGTCTAAATACAGTTCCTTGCATTACAAGTTACAGCTCTCTCCAACCTGAACCACAGGTAACCCTCAGAGAAAGTTCCATTTCAGTGCACAGTCTCAGTCAGACCATAAAATGTTGTTCAGTGGCGATTGAGGTTGGTTTTGCTTTCGTGTGGTATGAATATATTTGAAAAAGATCCCTGCATGCCAGAAAATGATTTGCTGGTAGGATCAGCATGACTTTAGCTGAACAGTTAAGTGAAGTTGAACATTTAAAACTGAAGAAAAGAACCCAGTGAGGAAATTGCAGAAGATCTGGCTGCTGGCTAATGGCTGCTGTAGCTAAGCCTTCCAGGGGGATGGAAGCAGAGTGTGCTGTGCCACGGTAGTTGAAGAAGTGTGTGGATGAGGACAGGAAGGACACTTTGGGATATGTGTTTCTCAGTCTACAGTGGTGTGAATACCAATGTCTTTAATACGTTTCTCTGCAGCATGTGACAAACTTTCAACATCAGTCATGAATTTGCAAAAGCAGACGGAGCCTCCCATGAGTAAACGCCTGTCTTCATCCACTGCGGCAATAACCCATTCTCCAGACCGAGGCAAGTGAATGTGCAGACCGGGTCTCTCCAGTTTGCTTCTTTCTGGTGTGAGCATCTAACGTTGGCCTTTGTGAGAGCCAGCCCCCACCCCTTGAGCCTTCTGCAAATCCTACCACTGTCCTAGTTTCAGGGTATGAGTGTAGGAGTCGCAGGGCCTCATCAGAGGGACTTTGGAAAGTGGTATTGCCCTGTAAAGACAGGTTGTGGCCTAGGAACAGAAATTAATTATATCCCCCCAGTCTGAAAGAAATTGTTTGATTTGCTACAGTGTGCATGCAGGGGTTACCTTCCCCAGGAATCAATTGGCCAGTGGGCAGATGTGACCGTTGAAAAAGTCACTGCCTGAGCAGTGGTGAGATGCAGGAGAGGCAGAGCAGAATTGATGAGTCAGTTATAGGGACAGCTCAGTTATGTGAAGAAATGAGGCTCTATGGTCATCCATGGTTTGTAGGCCTGCCCATTTTGTAGATGACAACGGAAGTGGCAGAACTTACGAAGCCTCTAAAAGAAGACAAAGATGAGCAGCCTTTGTAGACATTCTGTTTTGAGGTGGGAGATGATGGATATGAATGTGCCAGTTCCAGAACTCGAATAGAGTTAGTGTTAGAACACTGTGTTCTAACAGAGGCTCAGATAAGTCACTAGAAATCTGAATTTATACTTTTCAGAATATGTAGGTTAAGGAAGGGAGGGAAGCTCTTTATGAAGTAAGTGTGTATTTAAAGCATCACTGAAGAAGTGTCAGGTGCATGTCAGGTCACCCCCAAGGGGTAAGCAGGAGGATGTTTGTGCCTTGGAACAGGCCAGCATGCCTTCCTGGTGGTTTTTACTGGCATTGACCTCACCTCTCCATCCTAAAGGCAGGGCATGCGTGTCAGAGACCCCATCAGTGTCAGAATGCTGCTGATCTCTGATGCAGGTTATGGGTAAGCACCAGGAACCTGGAAGGAACTTAGAGCTGCCTGAGAAAACCCCTGCACACTCTTAACTATGTAGCGGATCCATTAGCAGGCATATTCCATACCTTTTCATTAAATCACATGGTTACAGATTAATAAGTTTATTTTTATTTTTTCTGCTATGTAAAGAGAGCAAAATGTTACTATGTATTATTGACAAATGAATTATCTGCTGTGTATTATTAGTAAATTTTTAAGACCAAAACCATTTATTAGTCAATAGGTACCCAACAAATACAAGTTAGTAGAAAAGTTAATTCATTACCACATAACACATTCCAAAATCATCAAAATATTTTGATAGTTGAATTTTGCATTATGAATGCTACTGTCTTCCAATAAAGCTGATATTCAGTTGGCTACTTTTATTTTTGTGCTTCTAACTTCATTTTTGCCTTTATTTATATTAAAAGAGTATGAAATGATATATTTTAAACTATTACAGAATAACATATTTCATTTAAAAAATCAGCATCTCTGCAGAGGACCTAAGACAAGTGTAGGTATAATTTCTTTGTCAGTGTTAAATCTGGTGAGTAAATGATTACTTGAGTCCTCATTACACCTTGGGAGGTGGGCTAGTTCTTTTCAAGTGCAGATCACTGTACTGTAATAGTATATTAAAGGAATTCTGGCACCCCAGGGGAATTCATGCACTCTCCCAAACTCTAAATGGCATACCATTTGTTTTATTTTATTATGACAAACTCCAGAACCATCTTTGGTTAGAGTATCTTCCACATTGATTCTGCCACCCAAAAGTTAATTTACATCACGCACTGTATCATTTAAGCATCTTATATTTTCTTTTGTTTTAATTTTGCTTTTAAAAATTTTCATTTGATTCCATCCCTCAGCTCATCGCATGCACCTTAGTCCCATGGAAACCTTTCTTGTTATGCGACTGTTGACACCCACACAGGCTTCTTTAGCCAGAAGCAGAACTGCGCTCATGTTCTCTGAGCGGGCCAGTGATTCAGGTAAAACGAGGCCGAGCTGGTGATACCGAGGAAAATGCCCAAAGTGCTATTGGTCAGCCTATGATTTACTCCTGAATTTTTGTATTTTGCTTTCTACTTGCTAGCTTTGTGAATTGTCTTTAATGGTTAATAACATTTTTACCTGCTAGTGTTTTGCAGTTCATGTTTCTTTTAAGTGTCACCATGGTGAGTAAATTATTTTCTGACCAAGGGTGTGTACATTAGGGGAGAAAAATCCACTTGATAAGCTATGGAGGTTAGTAGACTTTTTTAAATTATTTTTTTCATTTAACACTTTATTATTATTTTTGTTTGACCAGAGAGAGAGGGAGGGGGAGGGAAAGTGGGAAAGCAAGCCACCAGGTCTGGCACTTGAACCACAGTCAGCCATGTGGAAATCCAGCACCCTTAACCACCACACCACCTGCCGGCCCCTTAGTAGACTTTTTAAAGAGATGGCTTGGCAAAATAGCTTGTAGACCACAGTCTGGGGTCCCATAATCAGCTCTACCACTAGCTCTTATTATTTGGGGTAAGTTAATTACCTTCTCTAAGTCTCAGTTTGCTTATCTATAAGTGAATTCTTTCAGATTGCTATAAAGATGAAATAAGATAACACGTTTAAATGAGTCAGCACAATGATTGGCACAGAGTAAAAGCTCAGCACATACTTTGAGTTTCACTAATCAAAAAATGGCCCATGGGGACCAGCAGTTGGCATGATGGCTATGTTGCTGGACTCCCATGTAGTCAACCATAGTTTGAGTCCCAGACCCAGTGGCTTAAACACACGCCAGGCACGTGTGCGTGCATGCATGCCCAAGATCCCAAGAGGAGAATGGAGGAGAAGGGATTGCAGCGTGGTCATCCCCCTGGGAGTGATTTCTCACTTTCTATCTCTCTGTCTCTCTCTCTGTCTTTCTGGTGAGCACACATGCACTATAGCAAAAACGTCTCAAA